GTATATAGATAGGTATAGATGTGCTATTGTTAGGTAAAGCGACATAGTTGTATAGTGAAAGAATAGGATTTTGGAAGAACACAGTACTAATTCTGGTAGTTATGAATTTGTATAAACTTTTTGAATATGTTCAATAAGACTTATAGGACAAGTAAGATTTAAGTCTTCATTGAATGTGTTATGTTTTGGAATAGGATAAATTCTGCTGTGTTTCTATTGTTAAGAGATTTAACTTAAACTAAGACAATGATTAAATAAAGCTGTAATAGCTTAAATACAAACAGTGCCTGTATGTTTAAGCATTTTATAGCTGATACCTGTAGGTCTACAGGCTTTTCTATTAGGAAGTTTTGATAATGTCTAAAGAACTTCTTCTTCTGTTATAGAAGAATTGAAAGAGTTGTACTATTGGATATCAATATTTGGTTGCAGTTGGTAATGCATATGCCATAAGTTATCATACAGTGCTTAATTAATTGGTCGATATGCAGTCCAGTTATGGAAGTGTAATTGTATATGTTTAATAAGATTGGGGTTTGTAATAAGTTGGTCAGGAAGTATAATATTAGAAAAGTAAATAGGAGCTTTGTATCAGTTAAAGATACTATTTATAGCTTGTTTAGAGTGTGTTGTAAGTGTTTTACATCTCTTTTCTGTAGCTTGTTGAATTTGTTGGCAGAGTAATAATGAGTTTTTAGTATGACAAGCTTGATATAGTTGTTTTCAAATATCATATACATGTTGAATTCATGTATGAATTTGGAAGTAGTCATCTGAGTTAAGAGCTTAAAGGTTGCAATAAGATCTGTTGTTAATGTTCTGAATCTTCGAGTTTATTATATTAATATTAAGGTTGTTGTAAGTTTGTTTGACAATTTTAATTAGATACCTGAGCTCTTTAAATGATGTATGGAGTAAGGTGTAATAAGAAGAATATTGATGATTATAGCTACGCTTGTGGGTCTTTTTGTTAGAAATAGATTGTATTGCAATGTTAATTATTGAATGTTCAATCTTATGCCAAGTGGTTTCAATACTTTTATTAGTATTGCTATTGAGTAGTGTATTGTGTAGTCTAAGGTTATGAGAGAGGAGATCTGAAAATTCTGTCCATTTGTCAGTTGACATATCTTTGTAGTTAAAGATTCTGTGACTAATGCCAGTATGATAACATGAAGGTTTGCTGTATGCATTAGTAAAGGTCTAGATGGATGTCAGAATAGAGTGGTCACTAAATGTTAAGGTATTGCTGTCATTAAGTTTGTATGAAAGGAAAAATTGAATATTAAATGAATCAGTCCAGATATAGTCAATATGGTTATGACTAGTATTGTTTGATCATATAAAATGCTTGTTGTCAACATGTGCACTAAGGTCAAACATATTGGAGTAGTATAGATAATTAATGAGTCAGAATTTAGATGATGAGCTACAGATGTTATCTTTTATATTAAAGTCTCTAAGTATTATTGAATGAAGATTGTGTTGGAAGGCTTGTTGAATCCATGTAATAACTATATTTTGTGTTTTGTTTTGTTTTTCCATATCAGTAGAAGAGAGATATACAGCTATAATTAAAAGTTTAATTTTATTTTTGAAGAAAAGGTCCAAAGCAATTGCTTCACCAGGATGTGTTTGGCAATTATATACATAAGGTTGTAGGTGTTTGTGAATCATGGTAGCAACACCTTCTGCTAAGCTTTCAGAGTTAGCCCAGAAGTAGAAGAATAGATTGTTGTTATAGAATTGAAGATTAGTACTGTTAGCAATTTTGGTTTCAGTAATACAGACAATATGGATATTATTGTAAAGACAATAATTCTGTCAAGCTTCTTTTTTGGTTACTGTATTAAAATCTCTAATATTGTGTATACAGATATTTAAATGTAGATCTTGTAAAGGTTGTGTTGATGTAGATACTAGTGATGTTGTATATTCATTAAAAAATAAGTTGAATAAGATAGGAGTAGGATTAAAAGTGTTTGATCTAAAAGGTAGGTTATAAAAAATTGAAAGAAGATGAGAATAAATAACAGTATAATTGGATAAAAGTTAGTCATTTGGAAGATATATATGAGTTTCATGGTAGGTGTTACTAACAGAAAAGGTAATGCTAGGGACAGTGTTATTATAGTTATGTTTGTCAATGTGTTGTATAAGATATTAAATAGTTTGGCCATATGGAAGAAGTGGTAAGTTGTAATAAAGAAGGAATTTGTTAAAACATGTATGAAGATTATAGAGCTTTAAAGATGTTAATAATGATCTTCTAAGTTTGTCTTCTACAGGATTGACCACTATATACTTGGTTCTTACAGTTGTGCAAGGTACCATAGTCTGTTCTGTATATTGGGCCAGACCATCATAATTCTGACCTTCTATATATAGAGGCTTGACCACCTGCCTCTATACGTTATTCTCCTTACTAACTACAATCAGTTGTATCTTTTAGTAAGGTGGCAGCTGCATTTATGTGATTGTAGAAGATGACCAGTTTGTATGTGTTTTTGTTTATTGTTTGTGTAGTAATAACACTAGGTAAACTATGCAGTTCCCATTTTGCATGTTTATACTAACCCTTATATAATTTTATCTTGTGTTTACATTGACTATTTTACAATGTTCAGAGGTACATCTATATATATTAGCTTGTATTTCTTTATATTCTTAATCAGAAACTTCCTGCAATTATGAGCTTTCAGGTATGGACTCCATACTCAGAACTTTTCAAGTGGTCTTCCTAATTAGTGTTCTTGTAGATTTCTCAACACAGATCTACTGTAACCTAATATAGATTTATCTTGTGTTTATACTGACTATTTTACAATGTTCAAAGATACATCTATATATATTAGCTTGTATTCCTTTATATTCCTAATCAGAACAAACTCCTTGCAATTATTTATTTTTGAATATGAACACCATAACACAGGTCACTGCAGATCTGTTACTAACTTTACTTGGTTTTATACCACAAATTATAGCCAATAAGCCAACATTTCTAATTAAGTTGACATACTAATTAAGACATATAAGATTTTTAATTTTTTAATATTCATCAACAGTGGGAATTAAACCTTAGACCTTATCATTTGGGATGCAACACTTGACCACTTCACTAAGTCACCACACCCTTTATTATAAGGATTTTGTTTAAGCAATTAGTAAGAATTTTTGTATAAATTTTTTTAAAATATTCAACTAAAGTAATGGGTCTGATATTATTAAAATTTCTTTTAAATTAGGACTTTTTTGATATCAGATATATTCTAATTTTTTTCTATTGTTTTAGAATGTTTTGTAAAGTTAGGCATCTGTTTAAAGGTGCTATAAGTTCTGTTAGCATATCTATTCTAATATGTTTAATCATTTTATAACTAATTTCTAATAATCTACAGACTTTATTATTTGGAAGTTGTTGAATAGTTTGTATAACTTCTTTTATATTAATATGTTCAAATACAGAATTGTATCATTCAGAGTTGATTTTTGGATTTAATATATATTCTGTTTGTCAGTATTAGTTGAATATTTATTTATTATAAGAATGATATACTATTTTAATATATTTTTATATATAGAATAAAGTTATTTAAAGTATAAAGTTAAAGTATATTAATAAATTTTTAAAAATTATAGTATTTTTTAAATTTTTATAATTTATAAAATTTCATTGATAAATTTCAACTAAATGTTTTAAGTTATTTTGTTTTATATATAAAAATATATTAAATTAAATATATTTATAAATTTTAAACTGAATATTAAATTAAACTTTTATTATATTTAAGTTCAGTTCAAGTTCAAAATTAATAAAAAATTAAAGTACATTTCAAATTTAATTTAGAATTAATTAAATTAAACTTATTTGAACTTGAACTAAATTTTGAAACTCTAATAAAAGTAATTTTATATAATAAATAAATTTATTTAATATATTAGTTTAGGTTGCAAATTAACTAGTTTGAGCTCTTATTTTTATATGTAATTTTTATTTTGTTACAAAGAACCTTAGTTTATTTCAATACTTTTGTATTAAAAATATACAGTTAAAATTATTAATAAAGATATAAGCAAGGCCTTACCTTAATATTAAAAAAAAATTTTATTTAATATATATTCATAAATTTTTAAATATAACCTAGTTTATATTTATAAATTTTTATTGCTAAACCTGACTTGGCTTGCATTTATAATCTTTTTGGTCTGGCTTGGTCTGCATTTGAAATTTTTGGTTCAGTTTGGTCCACATTTATAAATTTTTATTGTTAGACCTGGCCTAGAATCCAATGCATACCTCTATTTCTAAGTTTTTTAAGATACAATTAATGTACAATAGTTGGCTTGTTTTAGATGCATTCTTGCTTTAAGAGGACATAGGTTAGGATGACACAAGATTAGAGCAACTCAGGTACCTGTTTTGCTCTTAACATTAGATTATACTAAACAAGTTTATTTAAAAAATAAAAATAGATTATTTTAATAAAAAAAAATTTATTAAACTAAACAAAATTTTAAATATTTAGTTCATAGTGAACTTATTTTTTATTAAAACAACCTGTTTTTGTCTTTTAAAAAAACTTGTTTAAAATAAAATTTTATATGTAATAAAAGTCTTAAATTAATAAATAATTATTTTTTACAAAGTTCTATATACAAACTATACAATTTTTACAAAATTTTAAAATAATGTTTTAAGAAACTTTATTCTACTAATTTTGTTCTATCTAATTACAAATTTGAAACTAAGTTAATATTTAAGTTAAAAAAAGTTATCCTTAAAGTTTATAATAAATTTATATATTTATTATAGTTTTTATTATAGTTTAATACTTATATATAAACATATATAACATTTGCTCTAACTATTAGTATTATTATTTGATAAGCTAATCAGTAATAATTATTTCTCTTTCTAAAAATAAATTACTCTCTGAAAATTTAATTTACAATAAAAATAGTTAATAAATTATACTATAAAATTGCAATCAAAAATTTACTTATTCCTTTTTTTCTTTTTTATCTTTTTCTACTTGTGATTTGATTAATTCAAGAATTTCTATCATTGTTTTATCAAGATGTTCATTAATATTTTTATATTCAGCTATTTTTAAGATAGCAAGAGATAAATATGGCTGTGATGCCTCATCATAATCTTCATTTTTCACTATACTAATATATTTTTTAAGTTCCTCAACTGAAGCTTCATAATATCTTATTTAAAAAAGTTTTTTTAATATAATAATAATATATAATTAGTTATAATAATATAGAAAGAAAAATCAATTCATCATTAATAATGACATGGTAACAAAATCGCAGGACCAATCAGATCAAAGGATCATATGTAACAAAATCAAAACAAACATAAAAACAAATGTTCTTATTTTCTAAATCTTATTAGGGTTATTAGGATTAGGATTAGAAATAGCATAGATTATTATAAAATTTTGCAAGAAATTTTTTTGTTAGTGTATAGTTTTTGGAAAAATTGCAATGTTTTCTTCATTTTCACATTACACCAAATTAGATGTGCAGGCGAATCGTCCCAATGATGTTACGGCTTAAGCCGTAACTAACTAAAGCTTATGTCGTAACTAGTTATGGCAATCATTGGGACGATTCGCCTGCATCTCTACACCAAATATTGTAATTTGATTGGTCCGTGATTGTATCACTGTGTCACCATTAGAAACAAATAGATTCGTCCATATAGAAATAAAAATAATTACAAAATCTCCGGAAACCAGTTTTTCTTTCTTCTTTGATGGGGTAGCATCCAGAAAAGTTCAATTTCTGATAATATCTAATAATAAATAATAAAGCCACTATAACTAATTTATTATTGAATTATATTCAAATAAATTAAAGATTATATATACCTCTCCTCTTAGTTGTAAGAACGATTCATTATTATTTGTTTTATCAATTGCCATGCCAAGTAATCCGATAAATAAATTCATTAAATAAATTGTTGTAAAAAATGAAAACACAATTAACAAAAACACCAATGTCCAATTTTTTCTCAAGATCCATGGTGAGACCGCACTTGAATCTCCTAATAATGTATTTAATTATTAATTTATTTTCATATTAACATGTTACATAATTATATATCATATAATACCTGTTAGCATGAAGTACACTGCTATAATGGCAGTATCAAGTGCAGCAAACAAGTTTGTATTTTCATCTGGAGTTGTGATAAGAGATGGTCCTCCAATAATACCATCTGATGAAATAGATTGATATCTTGCAACAAGATTCCAAGGATTGTTGGGATCATCAGTATAGCTTGGTTTATCATAAAAATATTCAGTGGTGGGCCTCAACAAGAGATGTAAAGAATGGGAAAAGGCCAAAATTATAATACCCAATATCATAAGGAAAGAGAAGACTTGTCGTGCTACTCCAATCATGATTGCAAAATATGTTCCAAAGTATTCAAGAGCACGAAAAAACATTAAAAATTTGAGTTCAAGTAAAAGAGATGATATAGTGATAGCCCACAATGACGGGGTTTTATCGAGCAACCATATTAGCGAAGTTATTGTCGGAAATAATATCGCAGAAAGATCTATAAATATTAAACTAAATTAAATTATAAATTTTATAACATTACATTAAATATTAAATTATATATACCAAACCAATTCCAAGGACTAGCAATATAAAATTTTGGACTATGAATAAACTGACGAGCTTCAAAAGTAAAATGAAAAACTCCAAGCATAATAGCTATTACTAAAAGAATTGTTTTGCTGCTCCAGGAAATTTCACTTGGTGGAATTGTTACAGCTATTGTAAAACAAAGCAAAAATATTGAATAAATTGCCCACATTGCAAAGTAATAGTGTTTCCCATAAGTGCTCCACTTGAATTTGACAAGAGCTTTAATGTTCCACCATTTATAATACTCAGGAGTATTTAATGAGGTAAAAGAGTTACCGTGTAAATAAATCAATTCGCTATAAATGAAATCTTTTCCTTTAGGATAGGTGGCAAAATTTAATAAAGGAATCATTAATTTGACAGTTTTTTTAGGGCATGAAATAAAATAAGATGAATAAACTGAATAGGGAAAATTTAAAATTTCATAAATTTGAGGATAATTTTCTTCTAAATTTTTCCAATTATCAGAAATCCAAAAAAACATGCGATCAAAAAGTGAAGTATTTAATAAATATGGTAAATAAACATAGATTCCACAATTTTCAAGGTGAGATAAAGTGGAAGAATAATCTAAATTACTTTCAAAAGCATCAGGAATCAATAATGCAGTTTGAGATAAAAAGCGTTCTGTAAATCTAAAATTTTTGTTATTTGATTCTAATTTTAAAAGCGCAAAAGTAATTATATCGACCAATTTAATAAATGTAGAAATGTTGCCATTCTCAAGTAGCGATGAACTTTGCTTAAGACAATTTTTAAAAAGTTCCTTGAGTTCTTCACCTTTTTCTCTCCGAATTAGTTCATTAAGTAAATCTTTTCCATATAAATTTAAAATAGATATATCTTTCATATAAAATTTTAGCAAGTTATGACAGGTATAAGGAACAGTTTCATGATGAATAATATCTTCTGAGTGTTCAATAATATAATGAAGAGCAGATTTACGATAAATAATTTGATCAAAAGATGGTGAGGGTGGTAGATTTTCGAAATCGAATTTACCCTTAAGAAAATTAAGTTGTTTAATTAGAGCTTTTTCTGGTTCAGGTCCTTTATCCCAATAATAAAGTAAGTAATTCCCGTCGTGATTATTTTTTACTGTCCAGATATATATTCCAAAAGATGAAATCAACATTAAATCATCACTTTTAAGCAATTCTATATGGAATTCATCTTTACCCCCCCTATTTATAGGCAGTTTTATTCTTACAATTTGATTATTTGTCTTTTTTTCACTGGCTTCTAAAAAGATGAAATTCTTAGTGTGATTAACATTCCAGGTGCATAACTTCCCGGGATAATTGGTTATTGAAGGGCCTTGATATTGGTTTGGTTGATAGCTTTCCAAAGTATTTTGTATAATTTGCCAGATCTGTTTTCCACAGGAATATGTATAAATTTTGCCATCTTCAAGCTCATTGCGCAAGTAATTATTAAAATTTTCATTTTTAACTAAACTTTGAATCTGTAAATCATCATTACAAACTTTTATAATATAATCAGAGATAATAAAGTCAATTTCATCCCATAACTTAAGACCCAATAACTCATCTGCATTTGCTCTAGCATTAGAACTGGAGTGTGGATTCATTATATAACAAGAGTCTCTATAGACAAGCAAGCGTTCCCTTTCCTTTGATCCAATAAAATGTATCTTCGAAATTCCATATATATCATCAAATGATACTATTAAATGAAATTTGTAAAGTATAATAATTAAAATTAATTGAAATTTTTGGATTCAAATTTAAAAATAATGAATACTTGCAATTTGCCAACATCATACTAGATTCTGTTGAATAAATATAAACTGATGATAGATCGAAATACACTGCCAACAATGAGTTGTCACCATTCAGTTCCATATCTAGGTTATCATTATTATTAGATAAATTCCAATCCAATACATATTGCGTCTCAAACCTCTGAGTCATTAAATCCCATTGCATAATTATGAAAGGTATTTTTAAAAGCATAAGCAACTTTCCTTTCGGAAAAATATTACATTTATAATATTTGACGAGTTCGAGGCTACTTTTACATGACCACTGATATTCGCCACTAGATTTTGATCTTGAAAAGATATAGGCCCGATAAATAAGTTCTCCTTTGACAACTGCCAGATCTCCATTTTCAAGAAAGGTAATACATTTACAATTATCATATATAATTCTCCCTTCTAAACCTTGAGCATTTAATATGTGTCTTGATTTGGTTGTAATGTCAATAATTTCTATCAAAAAAAAAGCATATTGCTAATAAATGACTAATGTTAACGTTAATAATCAATTTTTAATGATTTACCAAAATTATAAAGATAATTGCCAGATTTCCACAATATAACATTTTTGCAATTAGAGACTCCGATTAACGGTATAGTACATAAATTTAAATCTTTAAGATCCTCATGGGTAATTGAAAAATCAGATTTGAGTATGCACTGTCCTTCCGTGAATTCAGAGATTGGCCATCCGAAAACTGATTTATCTTTTTCACTCCAAGTTGCAACATATTTCATATTTGGTGAACAGACAACCTGAGTAATTTCATTATGCGAATCAACTTTGCTATTATCTATCGGAATAGCAACTTGTTCGTTCATTGTACAGAAAAGTTTAATGGAAAACGAATTGTTGTTAACATTCTTTATAAACAGCTGTTATTTATTTGTTTATTTACTTTGCCCGGCTGTGGCTGCGTTACGATATAAATTTAGATCTTCACGGGTAATTGAAAAACTAAAATTACTATTGAGAGCGGATAACGTGTACAGTTTAGCTCTAATAGTTAACGTGGTTTGGACGCGATGGCATCTCACTCAATCAGGTAGGATTCAAGCATTAATGATAGTTGGAAATAAAGGAAAGGCAAATCATTGTTTTATGTTACTTTATCAAGAAGGACGTGAGCTCCTCCTTTTTTTATTAAATGAGACAGGCTGTGCTTTTATATATTTTATGATCTTAAGAAACCTGACCTATTAGAGGCTTCGTGCCATCACATAGCCTCTACACAGACTAGAACTATAACATCTTCCCTCTTAAAGGCGAGCCCCTGCAAGCCTAAAACTAAAGATTACAAATTAAAAGAAATACAACTCAAGAAAATACTATCTATTTAAACAAAATGTCAATATCGTTCCAATCTATCACAAATTTACGGACATAGTATCTCATACTACAATCACTGCCTAACTGTCAGTGCATCTGTATATTGCCAGTCATGAGTACAGTTGTTAGGCAAACGTATTTTTGGTAGATGGCAAAAGTCAAAATTAAACTGGGCAAAAGTCAAAACTTGGCAAAACTCTGGCAAAACGGCAAAACTCTGGCAAAACTCTGGCAAAACGGCAAAACTCTAGCAAAACGGAGAAACTTCAGCAAAACATCTAAAATTCTTAAAGAAGGTCAAGCACTACGAGGTTCAACTCCTCTAAGCTCTGAAAGGACTGAGCCACATTGGTGAATCAAAATATTTTGTGTGTGGCTATTAAGCACAGCACTTGGCTTATATACAAATGTACAAAAGCGATAAACAAAGCAATAGCCTTTCATTGCATTTGAGTATTATTAAAAGAAAACTAGAATTCGGGCTTTTGAACTAATAAATTCATTTAGCCTTGAAAATCAAAACCTGAAATTCTGTTTTCTTTAATTAACGCTTATCCATGTATTAATATTATTTGTATAAATAAACTTAAATATTTAAATAAATTTATTTCTATATTATTAAGATTTTTTTAGTATTTCATCGTTAAAGCTTTAATACATATGTAAGTAATTTGTTAATATTATTATTACCTGCAATTATTTCTTGTTAAATCAAATATAGTAAATTTTATAGGAGTTTATGGAGTTGTACCATACATGTACCAGAAGTTTTAACAGAAGAAAGATACACATCATCATCAGATATTATCCATTTGGTATAATTATGTGGGAAATTTTATATGGGAAACTGGTTGCTTATTATCAAGAAATTGGACTGGAAATTCAAACAAAAATAGGGTAGCCTGGATGCTTATGTTCATGATCCGCAACTTCAATTGGGACTATAACCAGGTCGCTCACAAATACTTTAACTATAGAACGGTTCTAGAGCTTATTTGGACTATCTTTCCAGCACTCGTTCTGATAGCTATTGCTTTTCCTAGTTTCAAACTCCTTTATCTATTAGATGAGGTCATTGATCCAGTGATGACTGTTAAAGCTATAAGTAATTAATACTAGATAGCTGCACGATGTCATCGCGCAAAACCAGGAACGTAAATCGTGAACATAGATCAGAATAAATATATACTTTTTTTTTGCTAAAGAATTACTTTATATATGAGATATGTTAAGTAAAAGTTTGTAAGATTATAGGCATTTGGTATGTTTTAATTAAACTGTCTATTTGTTAGAATTTGATCTATATATATATTAATTAAAAATTACATTATGAAGTAAAATGATGTATATTAATTAAAGTTATGCATTGGATTATTAGGGCGGCATAATAGCATTCATAAGAAATTTAGGTAGCTGTAACTTGTCTTATTGCAACAAATTTATTTTGTTTTGTGATAATTCTACAGTATTATTAATGATAATATAGTGCGTGTGCAATAATTTAGTTTGCAGGTATTAAGAATACTTATAGTTTTTTAAAATAAATAATTTAGGGCTGTGCTATTTACAATTCAATTATTTTATTAAATAATTTAATGTTTATTATAAGAATAGTTATTAGATATAAAAATTATTTTAATTACATTAGTAAGAAAAATCGGGCTCTAAAAAAATTAGCATTAAACACTTGGCCATTTTTTTCAATTGAACTGTTCTTTGTGCACATTCATCGAACCTTTCAAATTTGGCACGAACGGTAGATGGTATCTGCATATTTAATATGGATTCATTAAATGGTTGTAGAATCAGTAAGTCATTTAATCTCTGAACATGGGAAAGCATAACATTTAAACCATTATGCGTATTACTGCTTGTAAGGTCAATTATAGCGATTTGTAATCAGTAAATACAAATGCCAGAGATAGAGGAAGTTGAAATCTCTAAAACCTTCTCTGGATTTTCATGCCATCACATTTCCAAATAGTGCGTATGCAGTTATGTTTGTCAGGGTAAATAGGTATATGATTAGTCTGAAGGTCTTAATAAGGACCTGAGGTTCTGCCTATTAACTTGATAATGACATACTTAGGTGGGCTTTTTAGTATTATAGCTTTTTCATTACAAGGTGATACCTTGTAAGCCATTTGCCAAGTTATCATTAGCACAAATATTTACAGTGATGACAACTTTCATATTAATGGACAAGGGCAAAATACTGCAAAGAGCATTATCTTTCAAATCAGCATTAATAAAAACTTGAGATGATTGTTTCCTGTAAGGATGGTTCTGTTATAAGAGTCTTGTGTGAAAGAATAAATAAGTAGTTGATTGTTATGATGGGCATGTTCTCTTGTTGCATAAAAATTGAGTTGGACATAAAGGACATTTCTTGCTACAAGAAAAGTAGCATTTCTCCAATCTGCTAAATTAATTTGATTATCACTAAGAATTCTTGAACATAAAGCTGATTTCTAATTATCTGAGAGATTTCCTTTACACATACTTTCTAAAATGCTAGCATATAAAGGGTTATTTAATTGTCGCATTTGTTTTTTTAGATAAACCACATGCTTAACATTCAACCAAAAACTTCTTCCTGTGGTATTCATAACAGATTGGGTGTCAATTAATGAAGGATAAATATTGCATTTTCTCTTTGTGAATTTTGATAAATCTTAAAAGTTAATGGTAGATTAAGAATTATGTAGGAAAGAAATATGAGTAATCTTATCTGGTACATATAAAGCAGGGTCTAAGACTGGTGGCAATTGCATAAAATCATCTACGAACATGATATTTATTCCAGCAAAGGATGTTGAATTATCAGTCACTTTAACTTTTTTATAAAAGCATGAAATTGAGCTAAAAGGTTTTGACCGATTATAGAAACTTCTTTTAATATAACGTATTCTACCTTAGACCATAATTCTTGAAGTTTGCATAGAGTTTCTTCTGTCAAAATAGCTGGTTTTTTACTATTTTCACCAAAACTAAAGCCATAAGCAGAGTGAATAGTACTTTTATAAACATTCACAGCAGCAATACCAGTAGATGCTAATATAAGAAGAGTTTGACATTGTGAAGTATATGTAAAATAATAACTCATTGCTTGTATCACTCGAGATTTATCAGTTTCTCCTGTATCTGCAAGATAGAATAGTAATTGTGATGGTCTACTTTCTAATATAGGCTGATTTCTTTGATAATGATCACAGACAAGAAAATAGGCCTTTTTTTGCTCTTTATTTAATTCAGATTCAAACTTTTCTAAAGGATCTATTGTTTTATTACTAATAGTAATAGTTGAAGTAGCTGTTTGTAGATTATTATTAGTAAAATCAATAAAGGAATTTGATGACAAGTCATTATTAATATTACTGTTATGTTGAAGGATGTTTTTCAAGAGATTATTGTGACTTGTCAAATCTTCAGAAGGTCATCATTAAGGCTATTGCTTGGATGTATAATATTTAGGTCAAAATTATCAATATAAATTGTTTTGCTTAGGCATTTCAAATGTGTATAGTTTTTATTAAAGAATTTTCCTTAAATTCATAAAATATTTATTGTAGAGTCAATCATTCTGATATCTTTTAAATCAGATCTAATGATAATGGCAGAATCTAATATAGTTATATTTTCAAAGGAATTAATATTAGTTGGTTCTTCTTCAAAAGATCATATTGCTTATCAGTATTATATCTGGAGACAGAACATTCAATCTGACATATCTTAGTGAGAACTAGATTATTCAATGCATTTTTTCATAGTTCATGATCTATATAATAATTCTATATTTAATATTATATGTCTAATGTATGATGATAAAGTAGAGCTATAGAAAAATGATTGACATTCATCATTCCATGTGTTATAATCTTCACAAAAATTATGAACAGTTTCCTATAACTTAAATAATATAAGAATATATAGACTATATAGTTCAGCATTATCTATATCATCTTTTTTAGATATTCTTTTACTACACAAAATAACAATTCTTTCTGTTCCTTTTCTTCTTAATATTTAAATAAGTTTAAAAACTTTCAAGTTATTATATTTGTCAAAAATTGTAATTGTTTTATGTTACATATTTATTTCTTTATAAAATTTTAAAATTGTACAAATATCTCTATAGATAAAATATTATTTGGGTTATTGCGTGATCTTAAGTTTTATATAGTTATATTGTTATAAATTGCACAAATTGTGAGTTTTATTTTGAGGATGTACATTGTTAGTTTTAGAAATGATGTTATTATCAAATTTATTTTTTTTAAAAAAAATTGACATTTTCTTCTCTTAAATTTTGACATAATAGCATTGAAAGTTCGTATGAGTTAATTAAAGCTTTTCATATACTAGTAGCATAATCATAAAGACAAATATTATAAAATAATAAATCTCAATACTAATAATCAATAAGAAGATTTATTGCAGTTAATTTTTTATTAAAAATTTTATTAAAAACAATTCATTTGTTAGATTTTTATAATTTTCATTATCATAGGTGTTAGAATTATCATTAGATTTTTTAAAATTTTTAGTAAGGTTTTGATATTGTTTTTTACATTCATTTTTAAGATAAATTTCAATTAATTTAAGATGTATTAATACAAATTTATTTGGAATGTAGTGTTCTTGAATGCCTAATAAGTATACAGAAACTTGTAGGCTTGTAAGTTCTGTTTGGCCTACTATTTTGTTAAGATATTTTGTTATGAGAGTTCAGGATTTATTAACAAGATTAATTAAATCTTCACTTGATACTTGTGTTAAAATGTTTGTAGAGTAGAAGTAGATATTAGAAAAGAGCTATGTATGTTAAAGGCTGACTTAGTGATATAGTTAATGATATAGTCAGTGATGTAGTAAACATATGCTAAAGCTAATTTTCAAGTAGCAATAAATTTAATATCATTATTTCTTCTATATGCAGCAGTAATATATAGGTTGTAATTATTAATAAAAGCATTAGTACATTGAATTACAATAATACCAAGATCAGGTAAAATTATGCCAGGTGAATCTACAAGATTTCTTGGAAAATCAAACCTATATTATTTTTGTAAACCATGATTGTATTTTAGTAAGTTTATTGCAGTAATAAAAATGTGTATGCTTAGTAATTGCAGGTAAATCCTGACAAAATTTCTCTTTAAAGTTAGATGACATGAGATCTGGTATAGGTTTAAAGATGGATGAAATTACTTTTCAAGAATTGTTTTTAGGAATGAGTATTCAGTCTTAAGATATCATCTATTAAATTTTATCTTCTTTAAATAAATAGCTTATATCTTCTTAAACAATATTGCTAACATAATATAGTAAATGCTAGCTAAATTCAGCATCATATTTAATCTTATTATGCAATGTTATTAGGCAAAAGCACCATAAATCCAAACAAGTATGTAACAATAAGGTGTGCCATGGTCTTAATATTTAACAACATCATAGTAGTTTTTTATAGAACAAAATATGCCACTATTTTCTTTATTTTAACTAATTAAAGTATTTATAATTGATTGAATAATTATATCAAAATATTTGGCAATAGCTAAAAAATATAGATGTGCAAGTTATGCTCTTTCAGTTGCTTTTAGAAAAATTTCTGAAGTGAGTTTTTCAAGGTCAATTTTATTTCCAGCATACATCATTACAGTAGGGCTATGTAAGTCAGCAGAATTAATTGTAATAAAAAGTAAAAGTATACTATCATATATAATAGCACATATTTCATTTCACATATGGGCTCATAATTAATAAGAGCTATTAATTTAGAGCTAGCAGCATTAACATTTTTAAATAATTCAAGAATTGCTAGATTAGTTATATTTTGTTTATATTGTTTTTGTTCAATAGCAATTTTATATCATAAAAATTAAGTATGAATATTAATATAGCTAAACAATCAAAATTTTTATTTTGAGTTAAATTATAAGATTCTGTTGATACTTTCTGTCACTGCAAAACATTGAAGAGAACAAATGAAAATAATTTATATTGTCTAAATTTAGAATCATGGTAATGCATAAGATGATTAGCATATTTTTTAATGATACTCAAGTCAGTCTGTCTTCATGATCTCTAACACTATAAGAATAAAGAACTGAAAACCCAGCAGAAAAGAGAGTTGGATCTTCATATTATTTAAAGACTTATTACCATGAAATATGCAAATTAAGAATAGTTGTACAGAAATAGTTTTTAGCATATCATAGTTATTACTCAAAGATTATTAATTAGATTTTTCTACTAACTTTTGTAAAAAATATAATGTAAGCTCTTTTTTAGTAATTGGTATATTATTAACATGCAATATTCTAGAAGTTCTAAAATTGTTTGCATTATAAATTAAATTATTATTGATAAATTTATTTAAATTATGATTATTATAATCAGATTCTTCATTAATCTTATTATCTAATTCTTGGTTATTTAAAAAAGTGTCCTAAGCATAACCAGTATAATGCTCTGCTTCTTCAAAATCAATATCTACAACTGTAGTAGTTAAAAGTAAGACTTCTGGAATTTCACTTTCTGGTAGAAGATTTAAAGATTTTCATCAATTTTTAATTTATTTTTAAATAATTTGTTATGTATAAAAAGCCAATAAAGCACAGTTGTTATTTTGCTTTTTTGAACTTAGAGTATTTTCTTTAAATGATCATTAGTAGGAGATCTTTTTCTAATAAAAACTAATTTTAGATATTTAGTGAGTTTGTATATTGGTAAAGATAGTATATTGACTAACAAACCAGAATTTTGAGGTAATGTAATAATATGACCTTTAAGTTTATAATAAGTATATTTTTTTTTAGTTATTTGGATAAGATTTATACATAGATAATCTGGAAAAATAAGGAGTTGTTTAAGAATGATTAAGCCCTGAAGACATAAAGAAGTAGGCCCGATCCACAAGTTATTAGATAAAGATAATGATGATTTTTTCTTTTTGTATTTTCAAATTTTTGAAAAAGATAATTTCATGATTTTTGCTTTTCTAGATTCACCTCTAGTTAAAATGTCAACTATTACTTATCTAAGCTAAAATTAAACTATAGTATTATTGTATTAAATATTAAAATAGAGTTTTAATAAGAATAATGTTTATAATAATAATAAAATAAATATTAAATTTTGAATGCTTTCTTTTCATTTTAACTGAGGTTTTTTTATATTTTTTTTATAGTAAAATGAATTAATATATATTTCATCCTCTTATTGAATTTGGTATGCATAATTTTCTCTGCTTATTTTAATGGTATTTTAGAAGCTAGATTAATATATATGCAGTTATTTATTTATATATTCCAGTATTCTAGTTCTGCTTATTCTGGTTTAGTATAAACTAAGCTTGTAAAATTAATCAACATATATAGTTTGGTTCTGTTTAAAATTTGAATTTGGATTTAGTACAATTTTTAAGGTTATCTTATTTTAGTATAACCAAATTTCAGCTACTTATCTCTACATATTGTTCTACCTATTTAAATAGTTTTGATTAGTTTTACCATAATGAAAATTCTTAAAATTGCATAAGCAATATTAAAAAAGGCATTCAATTATTCATTTTTTAGTGTTAATAATATTTAAAAAAAGATATCACTTGAGCTATTTACATTGAGAATGTTCAGTAACTTGGTATATAAAAAACTATATTATTTGCATCTTTTATACAAATAATGTAATGCTGATCTATATTACATATTATGTAACCAATTAATTATTTTAAGTAACAAATCAACATCACAGAAGTGAACAGACAGACATTATATAACATTGTTAATCAAACACTGTCATAAATTAGTGCCCTCTACTCACTCTGAACAACATAAAATATGTTAGATAGTAGTAAAATGAGTTAACAATAATTTGTAATATATAATTGGATATAGATTAATAAGTATGATCTATTTGTTATATGAAATTTTAAATTGTCAATTTTATTGTATTTGCAAGTTTGCCTGTAAGCAATTATATGTGCAATATAATTATAAACTAAAAAATACAACAATTTATCAGCTTGAATTAAAATACTTATCAATTAAGCATTAATATAGCATTTTTTTGAGTAGTAAATAAGTTTATTATTAAGTATATTTAGCAGATAATATTTATTTGTTTTAGAAATAAAAATATTTATATGTATATAAACAGATATAAGACAAAATATTTTTATATGATAGGAAGAGTTAAAAGTTGTAAAAGTGAAGATTAAAGTATAAACATAATATTATATAAAATAAGCTTTCACAAGATCAAATATGTTTTAAAATAAAAAGTAACACAAGACTTATAAGTGAAATATTGTATATACATTTGATTATTTATCACTTATAGATCTCTGTCTTATATTATATTTGTTTTTCTTCTTAAACTTTTATTTCTTTTTTTGAGTAAGGATTCAGCTTCCTGTTTTTCAATTCTTTTGTTCTTCCTCTTGAACTTTTTTTTGTTTTTTTAGTTAAAGGACCATTATTCTGTTTTTTAATTTCACTATCCTGTTCTTTAATTTCATTATTTTATCTTTATTTTCAGATTGTAAGTTTAAATTCTTATTTAAATTTGTAATATTTGTATTATTATTTTCATCATCAGATAGCTGATCATTATTTTAAATATCTTTGTTGTTTAAATGAGTAGTATTTGCTGAAGCTTTGAATAATTTATAATAATTTTTTAGCTATATATAAACAGAATTTATATCATTATTAATAATATCAATTATTGATAGTATATTTGCTGTCAATGAGGAAGAGTCTTCAGATATACCTATATTAATAGCTGATAATTGTAAGTAGTCAATATAGGTGGCCTTTATTATTATTTTTTCAGACTTTAAAAATCTGAGAAGTCTAGATATTAAATAGAAGGTTTGTAGTTTAATGTTCGAATCTATAGCATTTAAATATTTAAATCTAGATGATTTGAGTAAATAAATAATTATTATGTTCATTTTAACATCAGGTTTACTTATAACAAAATTATATTCAATTGTGTTAACACTGAAGTGGATAAATTCTTTAATTTTCTTTGGTTTGCAATTAACAATTACAGAGTACATATAATGGGAAATAGATACAGGAATATTGGACATATTAAATTCCTAATTTAGACTTACATTATCAATAATGATCAAATATGCAATAGTGAAACATGGCTCTAAATTTTCAACAATGTATTTACTAGAAATAAATACAAGATTACCATTTGCAAACATTTAAAGCAGTTGATTGGTAGAAAAGAAATATTTAAATTTAATTATTTGTAATAATTCTTAAGAAAGCTTATATTTGGCAAAACCATGCACTCATGAGCGATTAGCCTTAGCAGCAATTATAACTACAATAAGTAAAATACAAAAATCTATTTTATTAGGATGTTTTATGATTAAAATTCACAAATAAGATAAAAAAAAATAATAAACTATGCTGTCAAATGCACTGCTTTATATTATAACAATTTGAATTATTTTATTACTTTTACTTTATTTTTTTTTTGGTATTAAGATGAGACCTTGCTCATATCTTTATTAGTAATTTTAGTTGTACATATTAATATACTATATATTAAAGATATACTAAGATTGTAAAATACAAAATAAAAACTACATGCAAGAATTAAAGCTTAGACAATTTTATCTGCGACCTAAACCAACTATGGTGGTCAAGGCCTACCTAGATTTTAATGTTAAAATATGATTATAAGATGTGCTATGATTAATCCAGAGTGTTGACCATATGTTGATTTTTCTAATAGCCTATCCAATCAGTAAACAGATATTAGGATATAGGTGTAATTGGTCTGCTATTTCACATAGACATAAGTATATATAATTTGTATATGATCTTTTGTGATGTCTAATTTGTTGTATTTATTGTGAAGTATTGTAGTTGTTAAAAGTTTAGAGAAATGTAATGTTATTGTTTTTTTCTAGTTAGAGAATTCAATATAATAAGGTTTTTATAATTGGTTGTAGATTTGATCAATAATATCAAGAAGTATTTAAATGATAGTTTGTGAGGCTATTTTAGTAGGTATGTTGTAGTTATGAATTGTTTCGGTTAGAGCTTTGGGTATAAGGCCTTTAAGAATAAGGTCAAGATAGAAAGAGTTTGCTTGAAATAGTATTTGGTCAAATGAGGAATGGTTTTGAATTTTACAAGTAAGTTTGTGTAGCTGACTAGTAGATAAATTAAGATCTGCTTTAGATAAGATATGCTGGACTGATAAGTAAATAATATTTTTAATAAGAGAAAAGTTAGAACATATTAGCCAATATAAGTAGGAATCAGGAAGGTTATATCGAAAACAGTTGGGGTTTATGAAGATAATTGGATAAATGTTGTGAAGAGAGAAATGTGTTGGTAGTTCATTGAGTAGAGCTTTAACTTTAAAGGCTTTTGATTGATTAAGCTTGAAGCTAGTAAAATTTGATAAGGGTTTTTGGTTATAATTAAGGTATAGCTATGTAGATTTCCAGTCTATATAATGATTAATATGAGCCCATTCATTGTTTCTTTTTTGTAATGACCATATTACTAATATGTGAACTTTGCAAATATTTTTGATAAAATGTCTGGTAGAAAGCTTAACATGATTTTGTTCCTATTGTAGAACATAAAAAGAATTGTAAATATTTGTATATTAAAAGATTAAGGGCAAAGAAAAGTTGTGTTGTTTTGCTATAGAATTGGCCATATTATTAAAGGTATTATCTGTATAAGTCTGAACTTTGTGAAAGTTGATATTTAAGTTAAAGGATTTAATGATATTAAAAAAAGTATATATAAAGGCCATGCATTAAATTTAAAAAGTTTATTAGCATTGTTAAGTTGAATAGAGAGTTTGTAAACTTTGAGATAACTGATTGTGAGTCAGTATAAATTTGGAGTGTTGCATTGTGAGGTACAGTTAAGATTGCTGATAAGATAGAGAAAAGCTCTGCTTTATAAGCTGATGACCAGTAGTGGATTTTAGCTAAAAATTTATAAAGCACTTGGTTGTTATTGTTAACATGGACCCATTCAATGCCCATTGAGCTTTGTTCAATTTCAATATCAGTTACTGATCCATCTGTATAAAAAATGAATTCCTTATAAGATGAATTGTTTTGGAAGATTTCTTCAAGTTTGTTTGAACAGTCATTTGGTTTAAAGATTTCTGTAATAGTTGAATTTGATATGTTGATAGTAGAGTGGTTATAGGGAATTTGTAAATAATGTTTAATTGCTGTTGAATAAATAAGATCTAAATAATTAGCATTGAATTTGAGTTGAGTTTAGAGATTTTTCTTTCCAGAAAGCTAGTACAAATAGTTGCTGAAGTGTTAATTGTGCATGTTTAGTTAATTCTGTTTGAGTTGAGGTGACATCTAGTACATGGTGTGCAGTTTAATTCTGGATGAGAATAGTAGTGATTGTGTTCTAAAACAATATTAGTATTCTAATATAATATGAAGTACTGATTTGTATTTGGAAGATATTTGTGAATTTTGCCAATAATGATCTCATTATTATTATTATTGTAGGTAAGTAGCCAAGATTTGAGTTTTTTCTTGATTGGTGAAGTGTTGTATGCAAAGGTATTAACTCTGAGAGGTTGAAAGTGAGGAAGGATTAAGTGATGTGTTCTATTAGATAAAATTGTGTCTTCCAAGTAGGTGAACCAAGAAGGTTGCCTTTCTTTTATTAGACAACAAAGTCTTGGTGAAAGGTGGTACCATTGAAGTAGTATGCTGTTATCTGCAGTACATAATTGTTCTAGATAAAGTATGTTGTTTTTGCAAAGTTGTTTTCTAAAAGTATAATATTTGAAATGTTGATTAAGTATTGGTTCTAATAGTTGGTAGCCATCATGAACAGTGTTAGGTCACAGGACATTAG